GGGATTCCATTGATCCCACATGCGCGCCTTAAGGTCGAAAAATTCGGACTGCATATCTCTTTCCCGATTCAGGTTTTCCCGCCGCGCGGGGAATTCCGTAGCAAATGAATACCCTTCGTTCTGAGTTAGGGATAACCCATGAACGATCCCGCGACATTCGTGATAATCACCATGCGCTCGCTGAACAGCTTCCGCATCCGAACAACCGGTTGCAAACCGCTCACGACGAGCCTTCATCTCCTCGGCAACCTCTTGTTTGCTCGCACGACAAGCACGACGAATCCTTTGGTCAGAAAGCTCCTTGGCACGACGAGACCTAGCCGCACACTCATCCCTCACGCGAGCAACCTCCCTCGCAACCGCTTCTTCGGCTTGGTTGGCCTCGACCTCTGCCCGAAGACGAGCCACTTCCTTTTCGGCCATGTTCGCTCGAAACTCGGCAAGGCGAGCCTCAGCGGAACGGTTGTCTAGGGCCCGGCTCATGATAAGGAAACCCTACCAAAGAAAAGAATTAAGCGATACCATAAAAACTGCTCGAAAAAGAAAACAATAAACACACGTACCTCCTTAGCTTTCTCAGACCCCCTGACAAACTCTGGGACTTGATCATGATCAATGTCCAATAAATGGGAGGTCGATGATCCGCCCGCTAGAACCTCACGATTCTTACGAGCTGGGGGGCTAACTGTTGGGGTCAAAATCGGTACGACGGAATTAATAGCCAAATCTCCCCGCAAAAATACAAAAGGAATAGTTTTATAAAACCCGAGGAATCGTTTTATAAAACTCGAAAAGCCGTTTTATAAAACCCGTAAACCGTTTTATAAAACCCGAAGATCATTTTATAAAACTCGAGAATAGTTTTATAAAACTCGAGAATCATTTTATAAAACTCGAGAATCGTTTTATAAAACTCGAGAAGCCGTTTTATAAAACCCGCATACCGTTTTATAAAACCCGAAGATCGTTTTATAAAACTCGAGAATAGTTTTATAAAACTCGAGAATCGTTTTATAAAACTCGAGAAGGCGTTTTATAAAACTCGAAGATCGTTTTATAAAACTCGAGAATCATTTTATAAAACTCGAAAAAGCCGTTTTATAAAACTCAAAGATCGTTTTATAAAACTTAAAGATCATTTTATAAAACTTAAAGATCGTTTAATAAAACTCGAGAAGCCGTTTTATAAAATCCGAAGATCGTTTTATAAAACTTAAAGATCGTTTTATAAAACTTGAGAAGCCGTTTAATAAAACTCGAAGATCATTTTATAAAACTCGAAGAATCGTTTTACGAAACCGCAAAAAACCGAAACAGCCGTAAAACGCGAACTAGTGATGACTAGTTCGCCCACAGGCGAACTAAGCCGAGCCGGCTTAGTTCGCCAATGGGCGAACTAGGAGACACTCGACTAGTTCGCCCATCGGCGAACTGAGCCGGCCCGGATTAGTTCGCCGATAGGCAAACTAGGAAACACTCGACTAGTTCGCCCATCGGCGAACTAAGCCGGGCCGGCTTAGTTCGCCGGTGGGCAAACTAGAAACTTCCTGGACGTCCCGAGCCTCAGTCTCCCGCATTCCCGATTCGAAACTTACGTCTTTCGACATGGTCGCATTCTGAACCACGGCCGAAAAATCTCCCGTTCCATCTCGATCCGACCTATCGTTCGAGTTTTACGATAAATACCGTAAAACTTCGCTTTTCTCAGTAAATAACTCGAAGAAATCGTATAAAACGGCAACGGTTAAACGAAACACCGAACATTGCCTAAACCATACGATTTCTTCGAAGTTTCTCGTTAAATTCATAAAAACGCATTTTTAATAAAAACGTCGAGTAAATCATAAAAAACGTGTTTTTAATAAAAAGTCGAGTAAATCGTAAAACCTTACGATTAGCTCGAGGAATTTATTAAAAACGACATCAGATCAGGAAACGATCCCGTAAAAAGTCGGAAAATGGATTTATCACAAAACGGCCCGGAAGGTCCTAAAATGCGATAAAAACCCATCTCGCGATCTTAACGGAATCTAACCCGAAGATTCGATAACGTTTTGACGGTTGACTCGCAGAAGGAAAATAAAAGTCAAGTTTGAAGATAAAAGGAAGGTTTGAAGAAAAATAGAAGATTTCCGCGGAAAAAAAGGAAGGATCGAGAAAAATGGAAAATTCCCGATATAGTCAAATCTGGGTGAAATGGAAAGACCGGATGACCAAGGCGAGGAGTATATAAATAGGAGTCTAAGGCAGAAGCAAAGGACACGAAATTCAGAACTCTCACCACCAGAAATTAGCATTTAGGAATATTTCCGTTTTCTGTTAGCGAGCTGCGTCTCAATTAGGGTTTTCGTTCTTAGATTTCTAAGGATTTTGCCGACGGCTCACGCAGCTTAGGCCTCTCTTTTGTACCAGTTCTTACGCAGATTCGGAATAAGAACCTTCTTGCTTTCAATCTCGTTTATTTTCGTTTTAATTTTAAAGTTCATCGTTTTCTTAATATTCGTTGTGCGGTTCTGCAGATAGCCGATTCCTCTGGAAACTTAGGGTTTTCCCGAAGTTTCCTTATATACGATTATTTGACAGTAGGTGGATTTCGGTTCCCACAGCGAGTATATAAGCAAAAGGCCAAGGACAGAAGAAGAAGACGATTTTCAGAGCTCTCACCACCAAACTTAGCATTAGGAAACTTTCCATTTTTTGTTATCGAGCTGTGTCTCAACAAGAGTTTTTAGTCTTAGAATACTAAATCATGGAGAAGTTACAAATTAGCAAATCTACTTAAATTTTATAATAGAAAATATATTTTCAAGATAATAATCTATTACATAATAATGATCTTATCTTCTAAAAATATAATATTATTAATATAATTTTATTTTTATTATATAATAAATAATATATGAAACTATTAAAAAATAACAAACAAACAAAATTACCTAAAATCATGGGAATATTGTCAAATCAGCATTGCTTGATTTATATTTAATTATTATTTCTATTTTAATTTTTAATTTCTATAATATAAAAATATATATTTTCTATTATTTACTAAAAATGTAATATTATTAATAAATTTTTATTTTATTATATAATAAATTATATATGAAATTATTAAAAATATGAAAAAAACAGAATTACCTAAATCATGGAGAAGTTACAAATCAGTCAGTAAATTCACTTAATTTCTTTTAATATAAAATATATTTTTAAGATAACAATTTAATACAACATAATTAAATTATTTTCTAAAATATAGTAGTATTAATATAAATATATTTTTCTTATATAATAAATAATAAATGAAATTATTAAAATATAACAAATAAGAAAAATTACATAAAATCATAGAGAAATTGACAATTAAGCAAATTTACTTTTTAAATAATAGTATCGATATTAGTAAAGGAGTTATTCTTAGGTTCACCCCCTAGGGTGAACCTCTAGGTTCACTAACCAATAGGATGGTGTTATTTTATATTTGATATTTTTTTAAAAAGGAAATAAAATCTTGTTAAGTTATATTGGTTTTTTTAAAATAAAAATAAATAAAATAAATAAAAATAATGTATTTAAAAAAACGAAAAATAACGTTTTAAAAAAATATTTAACACTAAACCCTAAACTTTAATCCTAAACCCTAATACTAAACCCTAAACCCTAATCCTAAACCCTAAACCCTTGGGTAAATCATAAACCCTTCGAAAAATCTTAATACTTGGGTAAATTAATACTAACCAATTATATTATTTTTATCTTTTTATTTTAAACACATGTTTTTATTTTAAAGATATATCAAAAATTTTTTTTTTTTTAAAAAAATTTCAATTATTACTGTTTTTATTTTATTTTTATCTTTTATTTTAAAACATAATATAATGTTAAAATATTTTTTTAAAGATTTTTTTTTCGTTTTTTTTTAAATATTAATATTTTTATTTATTTTTTCTATTTTTATTTTAAAAACATAATATAACTTGACAAGATTTTGTTTCCTTTTTTAAAAGATATCAAATATGAAATAGCACCATTATATTGGTTGATGAACCTAGAGGTTCACCCTAGGGAGTTGTTCTTAGGTTCATCAACTAGGGTGAACCTCTAGGTTGACCAACCAATAGGATGGTGTTATTTCATATTTGATATCTTTTTAAAAAGGAAATAAAATCTTGTATTATATTATATTTTTAAAATAAAAATAAATAAAATAATAATATATAAAAAAAGGAAAAAAACTAAACCCTATTCCAAAACCCTAAACCCTAATACTAAACCCTAAACCCTAATCCTAAACCCTAATCCTAAACCCTAAACCCTTGGGGAAATCATAAACCCTTTGGAAAAATTTTAACCCTTGTATAAATTAATACTAACCAATTATACTGTTTTTTATTTATTTTTATCATTTTATTTTAAACACATGTTTTTATTTTAAAGATATATTAAAAGATGTTTTGTTTAAAATGTTTTTTTGCAATTATTAGTAGTTTATTTTATTTTTATCTTTTATTTTAAAACATATTATAATGTTAAAATATATTTTTAAAGAAATTTTTTTTTGTTTTTTGTAAATATTATTATTCTTATTTATATTTTTATTTTGAAAATATAATACAACTTGACAAGATTTTGTTTTCTTTTTTAAAATATATATCAAATATGAAATAACACCATCCTATTGGTTGGTGAACCCAGAGGTTCCCCCTAGGGGTGAACCCAAGAATAAGTCTTCTTATATTATTCACCTCACTGCAGCTTAGAATTAGCTCTTTTGATTTGCAATGGATCATCTCATGGTTGCTGAGACTTTGGAACAATGTTCCGTCTTTACTTACTGCTTGCTCTTTTTTCTGTTTTATAAGAATATATTTATCACACATTTAAAGAAATCCAATAGGGCAATATTGATGCTACTGTTTTCTAAAACCAAAAAAAAAGTGCAATATTGTAAAACGTTACTCAGTACCTGTTCATGGAATCACTTGTGTTTAAGTAAATGACCAGTGGTTTCTTTATGAACATTCATACAAAAATTTAGATCGTTTTTCGCTTTGCAATGATGTTCTGCTTTCTTTTTTTCAACTTCTTTGAGTTGCAACATACATTGAGACCTATGTTTACACTTTTCACCTAAACTATGATTTTTATTCAGTTTAGTTTCATCCAACCAGATAGGAGTACATGTAATAAACAATCACACACAAATTTTTGATGTCACGCATATCAATGCCCATTGCAGAAGATATTGATAATAGATTGTCTCGAATAGTTTCACATCAAACTGACATTATTTCACTCTTTTGCCGAATTTAACCATGGAGAGACGGGTTAGGTGATCAGAGCTTGATCTTAGGCTTCTTCACGATAATCACCGAGCAATGCGCATGATGTGCACAGTAGTCGCTCACGCTCCCGATAACAGCCCTGTCTCAAATAGACAAGTGAAGATCATTGTCAGGTTCACCATGGGAGTACCATATATTTTAAAAGATGAATACATAAAAGAGGAATTAGTTAACTGACCTCTTGATAGCTCCATGACCATGGCTTCCCACAACAAGAAGAGAAGCATGGTGTTTATCCACAACCTCGCACAGGATATTCCTTGCATCGCCTTCAAATACTTCCATCATGGCGCCATGAACCTACACATGATCAAACCTAGACTATTAAGAAGAAGGTATATCGTCCTAAACCTCATCTAATAGAGTCCAATACATGGTGAATGAATACGAAGTAACACACATGGAGTATTAGTTTCCAAAGTCTTATCAAATATAATACGTACCGATTTGCTCTCACAGATTCCTTTGGCCTTGTCGACAACCTTAGCAGCGGTATGTTTCAGATCTGCATCAACATGAGGCACAACCTCCACAATTCCTAAAACCAAAAAATACCACAAATTATCTCCCTAAAGCAGAACCTTATTAGCTAGAAAAGAAGAGTGTGCCTAGTCTAGTCAAATCAAAGATCAAAAGAGCGTACCGGGACCAGCGAAACCAAGGGCAGAGACGGCGTTAGGTTTGGCGTGGATGATCAAGAGCTTGAACGGAAAATTTGGAGCGTAGGGAGCGAAGAACCGATCCAGCGTCCACTCCAAAGCGTAGATGCTCTGCTCGCTTTCATCCACACCGACGACCATCACCGGCTTCTCATCTCCGGTAGCCATGACTCTCTCAACGAAAGCGCTTTTGTTTGGGCTGAGCTTATAGAAGAAGAAGAAGATTCTAAAATGAATGTAGCTGGAGAGTAAAGAGAGCTTTCCCTTCTATACAGCAAGAGAAAGAGGAATGCGATACTTGATGGTCCTCCTCGTTCCTTTTAATATGCTCTCTCTCTCTCTCTCTTTTTCTGATCAGTACATTTTTTTGAGGCAACCAAATAGTATTTGCTACTGCTCCACCGAATAATATTGGGGAGAATTGCTAATACAAACCTAAAATTTAAATCAAATGTAAAAGTGTACTCTAGTTTCCATTAAATGCAAAATCAACCTAAACAGTAAAGAAATGTTTATTTATCCTTTATGCATAAACAAAAAGCTAAAATGCTATTTTACATTTATATCGTTACAAAGTTTATATTTAATAAATAGAAGTTTACAAAGTGTAGATTTTCGTGAAGTCTACAAAGTGTAGACTTATAGACTTATTATAAAGTCTACAATTTTTTTTTTGGTCAAATATAAAGTCTACATTCTAAGTTAATCTTATAATTTTATTTAAAAATGTATAAAAATAAATTGTGTGAAATTTATTTTAGGTCATCAATATAAGAATCAATATGAGGTATATAAACTAAAATTTTATATAATTAAACAATTTTAACGAATATATATTGATTAAGTAAGTATGTGTTAGACCATTTTTATGGTTTAGCAGAAGATATTCTAACATATGATGTCTTTTAGGGTTAGATTTTAGATTTAGATTTCTTTTGTTATTATTGACTTAAATTTACATATTAATATTGAGTAGTTTATATTTTGTATATCTTAACATTTGATATAATAATTAAGACTTATTGATTATGAAGAAACTTTTAAGGGTTGAAATTTGTGGTTTAGAGAATGATAGAGTTACAATAATGTTTATTTATTGTATGTAGACGTTCTTTGTAGTCTACTAAAACTGAAAATCACTATTTCAAATTAACTCTAGTTCTTAACTTGTGAAATGTGAAACAATATATTATAAAAATCAAAACAATAAGAGTCCCAAACAATAAAAAAATTAGTAAATCATATATTAAAACTATTATTCAAACAATAAAACAGTAAAAAACATATTTATGAATAAAAATGTCTAAATCATATTTATGATACAATAACTGAGTTTTTTGGTTATCATATTTATGATACAATCATATTTATGATCATAGGGTTTGAGTTTTATGATTTAGGGTTTGGTAGACTTACAATAAATTCTACTTCAGTGTAAAGTCTTTTTCAGACTACTTTAATTTAAAAATCATCATTTTTAAACTAAATTGAGTTCTTTATGAATTAAAATGAGAAATTATACAATATAAATATTAAAAAATAAAGAAATAAATTAAATAAATTATATATTAAAATTATTAAAAAAAAATAAAAATAAAAAATAATAATGAAATAGTCATAGTAAATTTCAAACAAAGTTTACTAAGTAAACTTACAATAAAGTCTCCAAAATTTTAATTATAGTAGACTTCAAAAGAAGTCTATACTCTCAAAATATTTAACCTAGTTACAATTTTTTTCTCCTTATATAAATGAAATTTAGACAGTCTCTCTCTAAAATAACTGCACAAGGTTCAAAAAACTCTCACTTCTCTCTAAAACTCTCTCATTGCTCAATTATCTGAAGGTGAAGATGCATTTTTGTTTAGTTTGTTAATTTTTTTATCATGTCTTTTTTACAATATTATCATGTCTTTTTTTTTATCATTTCAAACAAAGTTTACTAAGTAGACTTACAATAAAGTCTACTCCAAAATTTTAATTATAGTAGACTTCAAAAGAAGTCTATACTCTCAAAATATTTAACCTAGTTACAATTTTTTCTCCCTATATAAATGAAATTTAGACAATCTCTCTCTAAAATAACTGCACAATGTTCTAAAAACTCTCACTTCTCTCTAAAACTCTCCCATTGCTCAATTATCTGAAGGTGAAGATGCATTTTTGTTTAGTTTGTTAATTTTCTTATCATGTCTTTTTTACAATATTATCTTGTGTTTATAGGTTAATTCATGGTTATCACCCTCCACTCTAAAAATGTAAATCTTAGATCTATGGATTTTAAATGTGTATTTTTATGTTTATATTCAAATAAAGTTATAAATACAAATTCTGTGCATTTACTTTGCTACTATTTTATCTTATAAATTCTATTTTTGAAGTTTTATTTACAGATTAAAAACTATGTTTCACATTTTCACATGTATATAGTTTTCAGATCTGAAAATTATCCGATATAGTAAACTTGTAATGAACTCTACAAAACTAGAAGTGACTTTTTTGTATAATTTTTTTTCTCATAATTTTATCTTTATTTTTCTAATATTTTTTCCATGATTTTTATCTAGTTCTGCCAAAAATGAAAGATTCACATTTTCAAATATATAAATTTTTCAGATCTGAAAATTATCTCATTTAATAAACTTCTAATGAAGTCTACAAGGTTATGATTTTAATTATTTGTCTTATGATTTTCATAGTTTCATCTTTATTTTGCAGGTATTTGTTTCCTTGGTTTTTTTCTCTTCCACCAAAAATTGTAAGATTTACATCTATAATGTGTGTTTTTCTATTGATATTTAAATAAAGTTACATATTCAAAAATTCTATGTCTATAATTTACTACTAGTTTATTTTACAAATTCTATTTTCTACAATTTTTAGATTTAAAGTTTTTTTTTGTCATAATCTTTACCAGAGTTTGTATATCAACATGGGACATGGAAGAGTTCTCTGCTAAAGAGTCTGGTCTTGTATCTGTGACCTTTTGTCATTTGTTTTCTGAAGAATTCATTTTTCATCGGTTAGATTCAGCATATTTTGTTTCTTATAAGTGTCCTGTATATAGGTAAACCAAACCCTTCTGATCCTAACCAAACCGAAGAAACCCATTCTGAACCGAATTGAATCAAACCGAGCTGGAAATATATTTTTTTGATTATTCAATTCAAGTCTCAATGCCAATATCCAAAAGTAATTCAGAGAAAGCTGTGTCACAAATCTCTCACATAACTCTCTACGCTTCTTGTCTTACCGTAAGTTTGGTTGGCCTATGAAACTGTGTTCGATCTGTGATCTTTGCCTAACATTTTGCATTTAAATCTGATACGTTGATGAAACATGGACGAATTTTCTCAAAAGTTATGGATATTTTAAAGAATCTATAGGATTTTGCGTAAAAGAAATAATAATAATTGAAAGATGGAGAGATTATGTGAGGTTCGCAAAGCGAATAGAGCATTGGTTTATTGTATAGCTGATGCAGCGAATATGTGTCTAACATGTGATGCTTTCATTCCACATATATATTATGTTAACTTATCTCCATACTTAATTTTCCACCACAACTTAATTGTATCATGGCCCAGTAAAAACCCTTAGAAAAAACAAATTTGGAAACTATAATTTTCTAAAAATTTCGCAAGTTATAAAATTTTGGAATACAGTTTATTACTATTTTGTTTTTCTTTTTGTTAAAATAATATTTGTGCTTTGAACATATTTTTTTTTGTTAGCGCATTTAAAAACATGCAATAGCTAATGATCACCTCATTTGAGGGAAAAAAAACAGACACTTAAAAGAAAATAGATATATACAAAGATCGTATTAACGCAAACTACAATAAAATCTCTATAAATTAATAATGTTATAACTTTAAAATTTTATTAATTTATAGAGATATTAATTTACAAAAGTTTCTTCATTGCGATTTTTATTTTTTTAAGATATATTTATTCTAAACTAAGAAAAATATTTGATTTTAGAGTACATGCAATAATATTTTTTAGAAATTTGATGCCTACATTAATTTTATTATATTATTTTTTGTATATAATATATATAGTATAAAATTTAAATATGGTTTTAGATATATAATATTACTAAATCTCATCAAAATATATTAAATTTAAGAAAATATAAAGATAATTCTATTTGAATACAAAATAAACAATATAATAATATGTTCTTACTTATATATTACATATAAATTATTAATTTATAATTTTAATGAGATCATATATTTCCTAAAAATTATTATCTTATAATTTTATTGATTTGTGTCAAATTTTGAATCGGCTCAAGTTAGGACCGGGGAAATTTATTAATTTATCGATTATTAGTTTCTAAAAATTTATCCTACAAATTATAAATCTCATACGCAAAACTACATAACACATCAACAATATATCCGGTTCTGCGCTTGTGCGGTGCTATGCTCCTAGTAAAAATAGTAATGCGCATCCAGGTAAACGAACCATGGTCAGTACCGTGAGAGGATACTATGATACCACTTAGGGCTTGGACTTTTATCCGGGATCCGGATTCGATCCGAGATCCACTCTGGATCTGCTCCGAAATTAGAATATCCGGGGGGTGCCCGGATCCAAATCCAGATAGTCAAATTTTGGATCCATATAAACCGAATCCGGATCTGGATATCTTAATTTTTAGCTCCGGATATTTAGATTCGGATCCGTATTTTAAAAAATATATTAATTTTTTATTTTATCATTAATTATATCTTATATATTAATATTTCTACCTAAAATAATTTTACTAATATTCTACTTTTATATTAATAATATTATATGTCATATATATATTTATAAATTATGCTTAAATATTTAGTTTATGCATTATATTAGAATTTTTTTAAATTTTTTAATTATTTTTACGGATTCAGATCCGAATCCGGATACCTGCGGATATCACAATATCTAGATAGATATCCGGAGTCCGGATGTCCGAAAGACACAAATCCAAATTCAATACTTCAAATTTCTCGGACATCTGGATCCGTCTCATCCCTATTACCAATACACTAGATGCGCTTATGGTAAACAAGCTACGTACTAGTTCTCTGAGAACATAATAATAGCTAAAGGCACGTTGAGTTTTAAAAAAAAAAAAAAAAGCTAAAGGCACGTGTGTTAAATGTCCCTGGTTAAATGTTATCCTAGATCCGCGACCGATCATGTGTTCTCAACTTTTTTTTTTATTTTGTTTAACCATTCAATGCAAATTTTGAGTTTTTTTGAAGTAATAAGCTCAAATCCTATAATAATATTCCCATATAGTGTAAAAGTATGTAATTGTGCCCCTGATTAAAAGTTTTCCT